GGAGGAGCTCCGTGAAGGGAAGGGGGAGCTTCCGGTGAAGGGAGGGGGAACTTCCGTGACGGGAGGTGGCGCTTCCGTGAAGGAAGGAGGAGCTTCCGTGATGGGGGGAGGGCACCTCTATGACGGGGGGTTGCGCGCGGCCATCATCTGCAAGAGAAAAGTATATTTACTATAAGCAGAAATCGCAACTGAGAACACATCCACGAAGGGTACTCAACAACATAACGTGGTGAATGAGAGGGAGCTCCTTGGACCTCTCGCAACCTCCGTGTAGCGGAGGTGTGCTTTCAATCTCAGTGTAGGAGAGGTGTGCTTGCAATCTCAGTGAGGGGAGGTGGTGCTTGCAATGCCCTCAGCTGTACGGGTGTGTTGCTTGCAATTTCAGTCGAGAGTGTGTGTGCTTGCAAATCTCAGTGTAGGGGGGAAAAAAAGGTGTGCTATGCAACCTAAGTGCAATGGTACGGTGTGTGTAATTGCACCTCTCAGTGGCTAGGGGTATGGCTGGCGATATCTCATTCGATCATATACCATGCCGCCATATTCACTCGAAGCTATAATGTTAACCATAATAATATCATACCACCGGAGTATAATATATATGTTACAAAAACCACCCTGACCACCGTAAAAAACCAAAAAACTGTTCAGATGGAAACACTAGCAGCAATCTTAAAGGCGAAAACACACACCTAAAAACGAAGAGTATGCAAAGCTTACCTACTTCCGTGAGAATGACGACGACTGGCGCGTCTGTAAGAAACATCAACAAGACTGATGACTGCTGCCTGTGGGCTGCAACTGTTGAAATGTAAAAGACTCTTAAATCTATCTTGTTATCCTGGTGCCAATAGAACGCGCTCATCGGGAAGACCGTATTCCATCCCGTGAGTGGCTCGTAAAAGAAGCCGGGTGGCGGCCACCTGGGTGCGGCCGTCTTGGACCGAAGATATAACATTCGATAATCCCTAAGCGCCGACCACGAAAACCGTTTCTGTAAAAAACTTGACACTCAACTGCCTTCAATATCTTCCTGTTAGAATCGATACCTGAAACCGGAAGTTCTCGTTATTGACCCAAGAAAAGCCCAATGGTCGAGAATTCTGTCTTGGCGAATAAGACGGTGGCCACGTTACCAAGGATGAACTGCCAATCGGTAAAAGCAAGGCCCCTCGCCACAAGCAAGCGCGAAAAACCCGAGAATCATCACTAAATATAGTCACATCTCAGCATAGCTCGCGTTAAGTAACAAACGGAAATCTCTATCACTCCCCTTATTTCTCTGTATGCGTTAAGCCCCCTCGTATCGTAAAAGTAATGTGTGTGTGTGTGTGTGTGTGTGTTGTGTATGTGATGTGTGTGCGCGTGCGTGCGTGCGAGCGTGTGCGTGTGTGTGTGTGTGGGTGTGTGTGCGTGTGTGTGTGTGTGTGCGTGCGTGCGTGCGAGCGTGTGCGTGTGTGTGTGTGTGGGTGTGTGTGCGTGCGTGTGTGTGTGCGCGTGCGTACGTGCGTGCTTGCGTGCGTGCGTGCGTGTGTGCGTGCGTCCGTGTGCGGTTTTCGTGTCTCTTGCGTTTCTGTGCCATCAGCATACTAGAAGTGCGCGCCCTCATGTTCCTCACACATCATACAGCAGGTAACGATAGCACGGTGCGCCACGACGACCTGCCATCAAATTACATCACGACTTCTATATACGCACGTTACGATATCTATATACACACTCCAATATTACGCTTTTACGCGTTTTGCATGTTTACAAGACACTACCCACTACGCACCTACGCCGTACTCTAGTTGCTACACACGCGCACTTACATCCTTGCTTTTTTAGCGAGCGTCCGTTTCAGATCGTTGACGTTGTACTGACTATCCTGGTATGTATTTTTCGCCACCTTTATGCCATCCATTCTCTGCCACAGCCTCCACCCCTCAAGGACAGCGGATTATTCTTACTGATAGATAGTAAAGAATGGCCCCCAGGTATGTGTGTGCGCGCATGTACATGTCAAGTCCCCGCCCTCGACAAGCCTAGCATGCGAAGTGTGCTGATGATAATATATATTGAAAGAGCCTATTCTCTTGTTTGTAATTTTATTCGTATCCCTCAGCGCTCTGTATTTCTCGTGATCGTTATTAGTACGGGTCGTGATAATGGAGTCTGTGACGTCACGAGGTGAATAAAGGGGGTGTTCCTGAACCAGCCACGGACACGTACATACGTACGTCAGCGGGGGCGTGTGACGTCATGCGGCCTAGCAGAACAACATAGCAAGGCTAATTGCAAGGTAGCGTATAGATGCAAGGTGGGTGCCAGGCGCGAATAGAGCCCCTTTGGAACACAATATATGGATGTACGTAACTACGTATACATAAACACATATTGTACACGCTATAATTTATTGACATCTGTTCACATATATAGCTCTCTGCCCCTAAGCATCTATCTTCGTCATAATTAGTTGATACTAGTTCAGGTACTCTGTTATGAACCGTACATTCATTCATCCGTACAGAGTCATCAATAACAATTGTGAGATCGAATGAGTGAGCTAGACTGGATCTGATAAAGTTACAAATAAGATAACACAAGGATATATACACAATTATATATAAATATATCCATATATATATATATATATATATATAAAGTAAAGTCACACACGAACACCCGTGTAGATAAAAACAAAGTCAAGGTATAGAATAAGGGTGTTTAAACTTTAATTGACGAGCTACGGCGGCGGTTCTGGCAGGTATCATCGCGGCCGTCGCCTGAAACCGGATGAAGAAAGCTTTAGAAGTTAAAACAGGTAAATCCGTGAATATGGGCACACGGATGGAAAGGTGGCGCGTGTGTTAATAAACGAGGTAATTTTATGGCAGTCGATCTCGAGCTCGGGGGCGGGTGGGATGAGGGTGAGGTTAAATTACGTCATGCCTCCTCCCCCGCTAAAAATCATTGTCTCATGTGTTGAATGAACGTCATCACCACTAATTTGCTTGACATGAGTTACTACGAATGTGGAATGGAATGCGTCCTCGATCCCTGCAGATTATGCTCGGAGGATTTCTTTCCCTACAGATGCGCAGAAACGTATGTAGGCCTATGTTTACTTACGTAGCAATCTGACGTTATCCCTGGCGTGGTTTTAAGGAGCCAGCCTCTAGTTAATTAATGCTGTGACGACATTATAAACGACGATGCGTGGCAACAAAGTGCTGAAAAGTTGAGATACTGATACGAAGGCGATTTACTAATCAAAGATATGGCTCCTAATCACAAGTAGTGCATTGTGGCTCTATCTGCTAGTAATACTCCCAACTGAAAAAAGACAAGCCATTATTCCTCCTATTACAAAATTACTCGCTGAAATCATCAGGGGTATTCCTGGAGAGATGTTGCATAGTAAAATCTGCTATAGAAGTATCACTTTGTTCGCAGCATACCGCCACCATCTTTTCCCTATGATAATGTACATAAGAATGGCGCTCGCGTCGCTGGTCAGGTTGCCAACAGGTTGTTCATGCAAGCATAAGCGTGCATTTGCTCCGAGCATGCACGTATTTATACAATGTAACAATGTAATTGTAATGTAATGCAACAATGTAACATTATTCGATATTATATATCTTTTATATCAATAGTCTGTTTGTCAAAACATTTTTTATATATACGGATAGGTCCGAATAGGATCCTTTCTAAGCACAGTAAATATAATATAGTATATATAATATAATATATAATAATTATAATATATATGATATATATTATATATATAATATACTAAATATTATATATTCAATATACCAAGGTTAGACTGCAATGACAATTCTTAGATATAAAAAATTTATAGTAGTAGTATAAATAAATTAATAAAATATAAATAATAATCTATATTTTATATATTTATACTATTTCTATAAGTTTTTAATATCTAAGAAGGTCTCATTGCAGTCTAAACTTACGTATTAATGCAGACACAGACATAGATGTAGGTATACACATGTACAGTGCGCCCGTAACACGAGTTTAATTTTGTTTCGTCTGCGACAACCGTCACGTGCGCGGCGGTATCAGAAAAAGTGAGCGTGTAAACAACTTTCGCCATCTAGCGAGTGTGCAGTGTATTTATAGAGATTATTATTATTATATAAATTTATATAGTATATTATCAAGAGTACATAGATAGAGATGTATCTATGTATTATGTATTATCTCTAATTGATGTTCTCCTGATATTTTACAGGCACGCTTAATTAGGTATGTCCGGAAACAATGGTAAAATGATTAATGATGAAAATTTTACTTTGGCCTCAGCATCCAGCCTCAGTCCTGCTCATCGCCATAAATATCCATGTAATGAAGAAATACACATGTTCATGACGATGTTCATGTTGATTAGCAATCGCAAGCAGCAGGTCGTACATCGCCTGAACACCAAGTTGCTTTCTGGTCGCACACACACGCCGAGCGCACGCACACACGCAAGCACGGCACACACATGCCGACGCGCACGAACTCACGCACGCACGCACACGCAAACACAAACGCGCACACTCACGCGCCTTAGCTTTGACCATCTCTTTTTTGACATTTGTACATGCAAATAATGACCAAACACACACACAGACACATACATGCACATACGTATATATAGGTATATATAACAATAATTTATTTACATCCGTTTACAAAGTGTTCATATAATTATATAGGTATAAATATATAAATAATCATATATGCTAGACAGTCATTCTATCATATAGGTATTCATAATTTACTACTCTGAATTAAGTTACACATCGCTGAACTGTACATTAACGCCGTTACCAACACGGTGACAGACATAGAATCTTGGTAAATTAAGTACGGTAGAGATATATAAATTGTCACCTTAACAGGACAGCAAGAGAGTGGGGAAGGAAGAGGAAGAGGAAGAGAGAAACACAGAGACAAAGAGGAAGCGAGCAGAGTGAGATAGAGAGGGGGAGAAAGTAAGCGACAGCCAGAGAGCGCAAGAGAGGCAGAGAGAGAGAGGGTGGGTTAGGTAGAGAGAGAGAGAGAGAGAGAGAGAGAGAGACACGGGAACAGACACGGGGAGCACAGCTCTCCGTACATTTGCTCGCGTCATCGGTGACCTATAACATCATTGCCACGCATAACCGTCTGCCTCCGTATTATTTCTTAGTAGGAACGCGTTCGGGAGGCAGAGGGTTACCCTGGTTGAACCCGCCTCCTCCAGCCTCGAACGGGTGAATAGGGGCTCTGTAATAAATGGGTTCGGGAGAGTAAATATCGCGCGTCATTGGAGACGGGGTGTCCGGGGGAGGAGGTTGGGTTATAGGTGTGTGTGAGACGTCTGTAGGAGAAGATTCCGTAGTAGATGCGTGTGAGATCTCTGTAGGAGGGTGTGATGAGTCAGGAACCTCAGTCTGTTCCCGGTTATTAGCTGCAAAAGATAAAAAGAAATCGAATGAGCAGAAAGAACGAATCACCATGTAATGAACACGCGCGTGAAGCAGTCGCCTAGGTTTACGGGAGGCGGGTGCACTAAACTGCCAGCGCACACTAGAGCAATATAGCTCGCGAGGCCGATTGTTTAGCTATATTGCGCTAGTGTGCGGTGGCCTTAAACTGCCACGAGCGGGTTCCACCAGCTTTACCAGATCCCTGAGCTGTGATATTTTAATGCAGATGCGCGTAAATGCAGCTTATATTACAAACAAATAAAGTAAATAAACAAAAAAGCATACAACAATAATATGAAGCGATACAACGATACGCGATGAACTGCCCTGACAACCGTCTCTACGGACGCTGGTCCAAGGGAAAACTAGCGCCTCTGACGGCGACGCCTCCGACGTTGCTTACCCGTGAGAAGGAATCCGCTGTTTTGGAGAATTTCGTACAGCTTGAGGATGGCTTCCGTTCTAACTTCCGGGAGAATGACGACGACTGGCACCGTCTGACCGCTCGGCTGTTGTTGCTGCTGTTGTTGTTGTTGTTGTTGTTGTTGTTGTTGTTGTTGTCGTCGTCGTTGCGTCGTGTGGTCAATAATATACAGAGAGCGCCATCTGCCGTAGATCGACCGTATTTCGCGGCCGGTGAGTGGTCGATGAAAGCCGGGTGGCGCCACTGGGGTCGGCCGTCTGCATACTCTGATAGCGATTACGCAACTCGATATATCTTCGTTCCGTGTTTCCTCGAAACCGTTTATGTTTCCACCTTGACCTCTACCCGTGCCCTGGTTGCCACTTCCGAAGGATCGACTCTGTACGGATGATGTCCTTGCTATTCTCAGTCAGCCGAAACGAAATGGTGACGCTCGCCTTGCCGGATGTTTCGTGTTCAATGAAGGGTCGCTGGTTGCCAGCAGTAGCCTAATGCGGGCCGAGTGCCCTCGATGTTCGGCTTAAGCAAGTGATGCAGGTCGGCCATGGAAGGCGGGCTGACTGCCGCGGTACTGCAGGCTCCGCACAGCAGCGCGAAAACTACGCGCGATATCATCCTGAAAGATATAGTGAAGATATAGTCACATCTCAGCATAGAATAAAAACTACGAGTGATATCATCCTGAAAGATATAGTGAAGATATAGGTCACGTATCACTCTCAGCGTAGAATAAACCCCGAGAGCGATATCACCATGAAAGATATAGTGAAGACAGCTAGAGTCACATCTCACTGTCAACATAGAACAAAAACCGACTTGTTCATTGTAGTCTAACATTGAAATTAATGTAATACAATAGCATTATATAGTCCCTTTAAAACTATCGAATGCAACTCGTATAAACTCAAGAATTATCCGACCGATGGAATTAGCTGCTACTATTAGATCTAATCTGACCATTACAAGAACAGCGTGACAAATGCAAGACACACGCAGAGAGCCAGCGCGAGAGAGAGAGAAAGAGAGAAAGGGAGAGAGAAAGAGAGAAGAGAGAGAGAGAGAGAGAGAGAGAGAGAGAGAGAGAGAGAGAGAGAGAGCCAGAGCGAGAGAGAGACAGAGAGCGAGAGAGAAAGGAGCAGAGAGAGAAAGAGCGCGAAATAGATAGATAGATAAATAGATAGATAGAGAGAGAGAGAGAGAGAGAGAGAGAGAGAGAGAGAGAGAGAGAGAGAGCCAGAGCGAGAGAGAGACAGAGAGCGAGAGAGAAAGGAGCAGAGAGAGAGAGAGCGCGAAATAGATAGATAGATAGATAGATAGATAGATAGATAGAAGATAGATAGATAGATAGATTAGATAGATACGTAGAGAATGAGAGCAGCAAGAAAGAAAAGAGAGTAGACGAGAGAGAGCGCGCCGAGAGAAGAGAGAGAGCCCAGAGCGAGAGAGGAGAGAAGAGAGAGTAGAGAGAGACAGAGAGAGAGCGAGAGAGAAAGAACAGAGAGTAGATGCCGAGAGAAGAGCGGCGCGAAATAGAATTAAGATAGATTAGAGAGAGAGAGAAGAGAGACGATGAGAGAGAGAAGCGAGAGAGAGAGAGAGAGAGAGAGAGAGAGAGAGAGAGAGCAGAGAGAGAAGCTCTAGATCACCCGCTTCTAACTGTACATCGTGTAGATAGTCTAGCGGCAATCGATGACGTTTTTCGACTCTGTCGTTGTACTGGCTAATCCGACCCGCTTCCGCACCTGCCTTATTGCATCCGTCCCCGCCACACGACCGCCCACGATGTGACGCACGTGGGCGTATTCTTACTGTTGATGGCTGAATGGCACCGGGTATTCAAGCCCCCCGCCTTCTACAAACGTCGCGTGAGCAAAGAGAGCAATCGTGCTGAACTATAATATAATAGAAGAATGAGAAGGACCCCCGTTACATTGGCACTAGCTCGCAGTGTGCGGTGCAAGGGCGGGGGAGAGTTCTAACGTCACGCCGTAGACGGGGGCGCGTACGTATATGCGATTGGCAGCGGATCCTTTTTTCCGGTCAGAGTTATGGGTCGGAGCCACGGGCGGGCCCGTGTGACGTCACGCGCGTAGGCAAGGCTTGTGTAGCCGCTTATAGATCATAGTCATGGTGGCTCAAAGCGCTAATACAGCGGGTAATAGCATATATAATATATATATTATATATATGTAATACCCTATATATATATATTATATATTGTAATACGGCGTTTCAACCGTAGGCAATGAGACATTAGAATCGAGTTGAAATATCGGTTATGAAGATGCACGATTATAGCGGGGACAAATACGCAGTTGGATACAGAGTACATTGGCCCAATCGTAAAACTGCGTGCCGCAACAAGGGACCGCACGCCTAAGTCGCGAAGCAGCAATTAACTTCACTAAAAATGCTTTTCAGTCTGTAAAAACGACATCATTTGTGACAGGCAGACGTCTGAGATAGTCGGCGGCAGGTTACACTGGTCTCAAATTAACACAACTAGAGTCGCGACCGGTCACTTTTTTATCATTGAATCATTACCCGCGATATATGCAATGAAGTCGAAAAAGGTCGCGGAGGAAAGATCATGGCTTCAAAGGCGCGGATTTTTGTAGAGACGGCACGAGACTACGCGCGCAACCTCTAACCGTATGTATACAATTGTTTTTACTGGTGTGTTATCTGCATTTAGAAAAAAAAACTGGTAGTTTCGCCGCTTGTACATACTGTACGTGTGGCACTGTACGGTACGTGATATATTCCACGCTACATATATATATATATATATATATATATATAATATATATATAAATAATTAATATATATTCATGCGTAAAATAATGACACAATTATTCATCCCTTATCTGTCATTTGTTTTGTCTTGTGTCATTTGTCTTGTCTTATCTGTCACCTACGCCCTTGTCTTTGTAATTATTATTTACCATCTTGTATATATATATATTTATATATATAATATGTGTCTGTGGGCGTGCGTGCGTGTGTGCGTGCGTGCGGGTGCGTGCGTGTGTGCGTGCGTGCGTGCGTGCGTGCTGCGTGCGCGTTGCAAGTGCGTGTGGCGTGTGCGGTGCGTGTGCGCGTGTGAAGTGGCGTGTGGCGTGGTGCGTGTGTGTATAACAGCATTAAACCAGATGCATTCTATATGCTGCACATATACACAGTAACATAGCACGCCTACACGCACTGTATGTATTATAACAATTTATTGACATCAATATGCCTCACATGTATATATATTACAAATATCTAAGCAGTCAGCTATCATACATATATATAGTATATATATATATATATATATTATATATAAAGAGAGAGAGAGAGAGAAAGAGAGAGAGAGTGGATGTGTGTGTGTGTGTGTGTGTGGTGTGTGTGTGTTGTGTGTGTGTGTGTGTGAGAGAGAGAGAGATGAGAAAGAGAGAGATGGATGGATGGATGGATGGATGGATGGATGGATGGATTATAGATGGACGATCAGACAGACGGACAGACCAACAAACAGACAGACACAGCTATCAATACATTCACTGCGCTTCCCTGCTGCGGCATAACGTCATTGCTAATAAGAACGTGACGCGGCTCTCCTCCTCCCCTCCTCCTCCTCACTCCCCTCCTCCCCCTCCTCCTCCTCCTCCTCCTTCCTCTCCATCCGCCCTCTATTACTTTCTTGCCGGCTCTCTCTCACCAGGCATCATACCCCCGTTATTGAAGCCGCCCCCTCCCGCCTCGAAATCCGGTAACGGGCCCGGGTCTTCCGAGTCGAATACACTCCCGTAGAGGGGGAGACATATATCTCCGTGACGGGGGGAGGGCTTCCGTGAAGAAAGGGGGAGCTTCCGTGAAAGAAGGGGAACTTCCGTGACGGGGGGTGGCGCTTCCGTGAAGGAAGGAGGAGCTTCCGTGATGGGGGGAGGCACCTCTATGACGGGAGGTTGCGCGCGGCCATCATCTGCAAGAGAAAAGTATATTACTATAAGCAGAAATCGCAACGAGAACACTCACGACCTCAACAACATACGTGTGAATGAGAGGGAGCTCCTTGGACCTCTTGCAACCTCCGTGTAGCGGAGGTGTGCTTGCAATCTTAGTGTAGGGGGTGTGTGCTTGCAATCTCAGTGTTATAGGGTGTGTGTGCTTGCATTTCAGTGTAGGGGACGGTGTGCTTGCAACCTCAGTGCATGGTAGGGTGTCGTGTAATGCAATCTCAGTGGTAAGGAGGTATGCTGGGCGATATCTCATTCGATCATATACCAATGCGCATATCACATCGAGCCTAATAATGTTAACCATAATAAAATCATACCACCGAGTATAATAATAAATGTTAAGCAATAAAACCCACCGCTGACAACCAACCTCTCCACCGACGCTTTTCAATGGAACACTAGCGCCTCTGGCGGCGACGCACGCTGAACAGATTCTTACCTTATGAAGGTATCCCTCCTCGGAGAAGTTCGTACAGCTGCGGGATGGCTTCCCGGCTCTAACTTCCGGGAGAATGACGAAGACTGGCAGTCGTCTGACCGCTCGCTGCTGCCTGTTGTTTGCTGCTGCTGCTGTTGTCGTTGTAGTTGACGCTATAAATCTTCTTGTATCCTGTGGCCAATAATATAGAGGGCGCCATCGGGCCGTAGGATCGACCGTATTCCTGGTCCGATGAGTGTCGGTAAAGAACCCGGGTGGGCGCCAACCTGGGTCGGCCGCGTACTTGCACCAATCCGATAATCGATTATACAATCGATAAACCTACGGCCCGTTTCCTCGAATCCGTCCGTTTCCGCCATGAACGACCTTGACCCTTGACGCTCTCTGCGTGCGCCTGGTCAAAAATATTATCCGTTAGAATCCGATCCTGAACCGGAAGTTCCCGTTATTCGCGGCAGCCGAAATGGTCGGAATCTTCTTTGCCGAATGTTCGGGTTTATGAAAGACGGTGCCAAGCGTTACTAATGGCGGACTGACTGCCTTCGTACTGCAGGCTCGCCACAGCAAGCGCGAAAAAACCCGAGCGATATCATCCTGAAAGATATAGGCGAAGATATAGTCACTCTCAGCATAAGAAATAAAAAACTAACGAGGGATATCAATCCTGAAAGATATAGTGAAGATAGAGTTTACGTATCACTCTCACATAGAAAACCAACAGAGCGATATCATCCTGAAAGATAGTTGAGACAGTCGTCAATCTCAGCATAGAATACATGCGTTAAGATTCGCAGGGACTCAGTAGCCCCCGCCATCGTCTCTAATACTTCTCTATCTCTCTCTTCCCTTCTCTGTCAGCGTGTAAAGCACGCTCGTTTTCGTGTGTGTGTCCTCTGTGTGTGTGGTGTGTGTGTGTGTGGTGTGTTGTGTGTGTGTGTGTGCGTGCGTGTGTTCGTGCCGCGTGTGTGCGTGCGTGTGTGTGTGCGCGTGCGTACGTGCGTGCTTGCGTGCGTGCGTGCGTGCGTGCGTGTGTGCGTGCGCGTGTGTGCGTGCTTGCGTGCGTGCGTGCGTACATGCGTGCGTCCGTGCGTGCGTTGTGCGTGCCGTGCGTGTGTGGCGTGCGTCCGTGTGTCGGTTTTCGTGTCTCTTTTGCGTTTCTAGTGCCATCGGCAGAATAGAAGTGCGCGCCGCCTCAGGTCGCTTCACACATATTACAGCAGGAACGATAGCTTCGGTGCGCCACGACCGACCTGCCATCAAATTACATCACGGACTATCTAATACGCGACGTTACGATATCTATATAACACACTCCAAAATACGCTTGCTACGCGTTTTTTGCATGTTTACAAGATCACCTACCCACTTACGCACCTACGCCGTACTCTAGTTGCTACCATCAACCGCACTTACATCCTGATTTAGGCCGAGCGTCGTTTTCAAGATCGTTGACAGTTGTACTGACTATCCTGGTGTGTATTTTCGCCACCTTTATGCCATCCATTCTCTGCCACAGCCTCCACCTCTCAAGGACAGCGGCATTATTTTTTACTGATGAGATGAGTAAAAGAATGGCCCCAGGTAAAATGTGTGTGCGCCCCATGTACATGTCAAGTCACCCGCCCTCGACAAGCCTAGCATGCGAAGTGTGCTGATGATAATAATATATTGAAAGAGCCTATTCTCTTGTTTGTAATTTTATTCGTATCCGCTCAGCGCTCTGTATTTCTCGTGATCGTTATTAAGTACGGGTCGTGATAATTGAGTCCTGTGACCGTCACGAGGTGGAGATAAAGGGGGTGACCCTGAACTAGCCCGGACACGTACATTATCGTACGTCAGCGGGGGCGTGTGACGTCCATGCGGCCTAACAGAAACAAATATAGCAAGGCTAATTGCAAGGTAGCGTATAGATGCATAGGTGGTTGCCAGGCGCGAAATAGAGCCCCTTTGAACACAATATATGGATGTACGTAACTACGTATACATAAACACATATTGACACGAATTATAATTATTGACAATCTGTTCAACAATATATAGCTCTCCTGCCCCTAACTCTAAGGCAATCTATCTTCGTCATAATTAGTTGATACTAGTTCAGGTACTCTGTATGAAGTACTTCTTCATCGGCCGTACAGAGTCATAAATAACATGAGTGAGATCGAACGAGTGAGCTAGAATGGATCTGAATAAGTTTACAAATAAGATAAAACACAAGGAATATCACAATTATATATCAATATATATATATATATATATATATATATATATATATATATATAGAAGTAAAGTCACACACGAACACGCCGTGTAGATAAAACAAAGTCAAGGTATAGAATAAGGGTGTTAAACTTAATTGACGAGCTTATCGAGATTACAACATCTTTTCATCAGGTCAGCCAGACACTTGGAATAGAATCAAATAATCAAAACAAATACAATAAGTTATAGATAATCAAAATGAAATGATTCACAACATTCGCTAGGATTGCCATGAATACGGACAACAAAAGAACACGCCATAATATTATAATCACGCACAAAAACACACACACACAGAGACACACCAACACACACACACACACACACACACACACACACAGCACACACACACGACACAAACAACACACACAACACACACACACACAAACACACAGCACACACACACACACACACACACACAGACACACACACACACAACAACAACAAACACACAACGAAGCAATGGACTAAAAATCACGACGTAATTAAAAGTTTACGTTCATGCCCTTGGAATTTAATACAACCAACCCTCAGAATTAATTTCTGCTGAGTGCATGTGTCGACGATTATAGCTATTGTAAATATGGTGTCAGTTAGCAGCCACACACCACGCACGTCATCCATGTGGTGATCACGGTTGTTATGGCCAGCAACCGAAACCATGGAAATTTAGGCGAATAGATGCTTAGTGTTCAACAAACCTATCCGCAACGGCGGCGTTGTTTCGCCAATATAGTAAATTTGGCATTTAAAAACGAGCATTCATGGCGTATATAGGTTCGTCGACCACGCATGTAAATGAATCCCCACTATAAATTTGCCCGAGTCCTTGACCAGCGAGACCTAATTCGTGATAAACACCTGCAAGTACTGCAAACGTTTTCCGGAAACGTAACACGCGGTATGAGCCAAGGTTGGCTCAACGGGTTTGTCTTAAGTTGTAACAACGGTTGCTTGAAACAAGAGGTGTCGGGCAGGAGGTTGGTAATCGACGTCTGTACGAGCATAAGGTGGGTTTGAAAAGATGTTGAACTGTGATTGGATCGTTTTTGAAGAACTTTTAATAATTATCAATTAACAAACTTTTGATGTGCAGGATTGAAGGGTGAGGATTAAAGACAATGTCTGTCTGACGTCCTTATTCACGCCGATCTTCTAGGGGTTATTAACGACGAGTCCCGATTTAAGGAAGTATGCTTAATTTAATTTCTTAGAATAGATCAGTGATTGAATTATAACGCGACGGCGTGAAACATTACAATCAATAGTGAGAGCTTTAGTGTTAAAATCAGTTTTTGAGCTGCATATATATATATATACATATATGATATCTTGTATATATAATAATTATATATATAATATATATATTATAATATAATATATATACAGACACATACTAAAATAACACGACAAGACGAACGATGTTAATACTAAAAACATGACTATCACAGCATGATGATTGTGAACGTTGCAGAGATATTGTCACAATGTGAGTTGAACAATATGTGAGTGACAAAGCGCTAAGGGCAGAATC